GCTCCGTTAGCGATCGGTGGGCGTTTTGCCTCACGGCTTCAATAATTGTGCAAACAACAGAGCAACACAAGAAGTCAAATGAGGCTTTTAAGGAAATGGCGTCGTAGCACCTACCTTGGGAAGACCGGTGGTGCCACTAGTGAAGATGTAGAGCAGGGTATCGGTGACTTTCTGCGGACTTTTCGTCGGTGGTGGCGCCGACTTCGGGTACTCCTTCAGTATGGACTTGATGGTCTGGAAAGTTATGGCTTTCTGCTCTTCGGGTGTCTTGACGGCGCCTAGGTCCGGACCGAACAGGACAACATCCTCCTCGGGCAGTTTCCCGGCAATGCCAGCTTCTGTGATGGCTTTGGTTAGCGATCCACCCACGATGAGGGCCTTGGGCTTGATCTGCGTTAAGGCCGCCTCCAAGGCCTTTTGACGAATGTTTGAATTTAGCAGGCCCGTGGCAATTCCAAGCTTGAAGGCAAAAGACGTTAGAATGGGTTATCAAAAAGAGAAAATTCAAGATGAAAATATTGTTTGCTAGGTAATCTCTCCGAGTATAATGACCTGCATCCCATATTAGGAGGTGGAGGGGGGGCGGGGGTGCAGCAAGTTTCAGTTCTATTTCCTCGGAAAGACACAGGACTAGAAACCAGGCTTTGGTTCGATGAAGTGCTTATGACCCATCTGTTAGAACCCAGCGGTGGAAAATCTTTGTGGATGAGTATGTCTGTTGTTTCGGCCCAGCTGGCGGTCAGGGTTATGCTTGGCTGAATGAAGGCAAACAAGCCAGAAACAGTTCTGTATTGAGTTACCTCCAAACACTGCCATCCTTCTGATATTGTGACTTGGTTGGCATCGGCCTGGCCGGTGGTCACCCGTTTCGGGACCTCTAACCACCACGAAACTTCGTTTAATTCGGAAGCCTACTGGATCGGTGTTCGCACACTCCTGAGAGAATATATACCCGGTCTGCAGTGACAGTAAATGGCAGGTGGCGAGGCATTAATGAACCGAGATTCGATTAAGTGCTTATGACCCATCTTGTAGACCCCAGTGGCGGACCACCTGTGTGTGAGTGCGCATGTTGGTGTTTCCGGCCGAGCTGATGGTCAGGGTTATGCTTGGCTGAATAAAGGCAAACAACCCTGAAACGGCTTTG